CAGAATTTAAATATAGCTTGGAAATGTTATTTTGTTGTTTTTAAAAAAAATAATTTCATCTCAACAGGTGACATCCTCACATGTAAAAGGCTTCCTGTCCTACTCTTGACCATTCAGTCAAGAGTTTCGCACTAACTAACACACATATTCTTATGAGGGTCTGAGATTACCCTCTTATGACCCCGGCTAGTAAATTGGCTATCAACTACATCTGTTGAGCTGAGCCATACAACATTTTCCTCACAATGGGTCCTCCAACCGCCCTGGCTTCCCCCGGGAGATCTAGTGAGGGACATTCGGTCAACAGGTGCTCTAGAGTCTCCGGGGCCAGGCTGCAATGCCGGCAGGTAGGATCCCTGCTGTTATCTAGCTGTCAGCAAGGGGCAGTACTCGGTGCGCATCAGCGTCACTAAGCTCTGCTGTCTGCGTCCTAACCCACACCATGGGTCTTGTTTGCTAGGAGTGGGAAAATTTGAATAGACGCCTCTGGCGGTCGTGTTGTCTGCCGATTGCCTGTACCACTTCTTCCTGAAGTGGTCCGCCAGCCAGATTTTAATTCCGAAATAAGTCATTGGTACTTCTGGTTAAGGCTGGGCAGCCCCGGTTTTCACCAGAGTGTCCGTTCTCTCATTGCCACTGATGTTGACGTGGCCAGATATCCACAACGTATTGTTACCTTGCCCCATAGTTCACCAATTTTGCACACGTCATTGGTGATGACGTCAACCAAGTGTGTGGTACCCTGTCTCTTTCCAAAGATCTCGAGAGCAGATCTTGAACCTGAGTAGACAACTACATCAAGCCGGCATGTTCAACCCCCTTCAATGTGTCATGAATTCTCTCCAGCAATATGTTATGAATTCTCTCCAGCAATGTGTTATGAATTCTCTCCAGCAATGTGTCATGAATTCTCTCCAGCAATGTGTCATGAATTCTCTCCAGCAATGTGTCATGAATTCTCTCCAGCAATGTGTCATGAATTCTCTCCAGCAATGTGTCATGAATTCTCTCCAGCAATGTGTCATGAATTCTCTCCAGCAATGTGTCATGAATTCTCTCCAGCAATGTGTCATGAATTCTCTCCAGCAATGTTTCATGAATTCTCTACAAGGCCCTGTGTATAGCTACCTCTCTACGGTACTTAATATTGATTTTTCCCTCCTTATTTGTAGCGGTTCTACATTGGCCAAGACCTCTACAGCAGCTGTGGGTGTGGTCCTGAAAGCGCTGAACTCCTCAACTGGTTGACTGAACTGACTACAAGAAAAATTCGTTTGACTCAACCAAGCCTGAAAATTGTGGAGTCTCTAGTACACTGTAAGTGTTGATGATGTCACTAGTTTTGTTCTACTTGTGTATCATTAAAATGTTCTGGAATAGGCTCATATGTTTTGTTTTAGAATTTAGCAGTACCCCAACGTCCACTGACACGCAAATTTGTGAATACCGAAATTGTTCAAAAAACGGTAAAATCATGAAAATATGGTGATATAGATACGCAAATACAATGCGGGAAGCTAGGGTAAGAATACGGGAGTAAACCCAAACTGTGAAATCCGGAGATGGAGTCCCGAAGTCGATCTGACGCGATAACAATGTCATTTTGTCAACTCCTGCGACGCAGTCAGTGCCAAGCTGTATTGACAATTGTCATTCCCTTGGGTCCACTGGTTGCGTGGAGAGTGGGGATCTGCTGCAATGGGCAACAGCTGGTCTCCATAAATCACCACCCAGGCTAAGTAGCTATAAAAGTGACGTCACTTTACCGGGTTTCAACATTCTCCTGCGAGAGATGCGGCCGTGATTGCCATTCAAGGATTGGCCTAGTGAGCCACTCGTCAAAGTGTAGAACTATATAGCTACTCCATCGTCTCACGTAGACGGAAGGATGCCATAAAAACTTGTGAAATCACATTTGTGATATTTGTTGGTTTTCCTTCAACCCTAAACTTCTGCTGCTCCGACCCCTAGGTCACTAGTCTTGTAATGCTTTGGGAAAATGTATACAGATGACAAATAGCAACTGCACTAAAAGATGTCTTCAAAATATTAAAATTTTGCTTGTTAAAACTTATTTTTCTTTAAAATTGCAAAAAAAGGGACAAGACAATCTCATGTGCATGACAGATGTTATATCTCTTGTCTTATCTATAGAATAAGTTTGTTCTGTTTTATATGGACATATATCTATATAATACCTATAGAATAAGTGTGTTCTCTTTGCTATGCACAAAAATCTATAGAATAAGTGTGTTCTCTTTGCTAGGCACAGATAGCGTAGCGGAGTGGAACATTGGGAGACTTCAAAGTGATGAACTGTTTATCCAGAATGTCGTTATGACAGCGAAAGCCTCCCGCTATGGGCATCTGATGGACCCACCGTGTCAAAGGAAAAAAACTGACGCCTGGAAGAACAAGAGGTGGCGACGTAAAGCTCATGTAATGTAAAATGAATTCTAGAAGTGATGACATAATACGTTTTAAATATCCCAACTGCCATTTTTATATCCTACCTTGACTTTAATATTTTAACGCTCCGTCATTCCCACCCCAACCTCATGCACCGTTTATACAAACTCAATTATAAAAAAAGACATTCGTCATTTTCAACAAACTCTTTATGTCATTCGCTTTATTTCAACTTTGATTGCAAATGCATAATACAAATCTTTGTCTTGGATTAATGGATAATTTTTTTTAATGATAAATAAAAGTTTATGACACATCACACAATATTATAAAATACAATTCACTGTTATCCAAAAAAAATATTTTTTTTAAAAATAGAGATAAAGTATCATTGTCAATACATTATTATTATAACAGTTCTCACACATGAATATACAACTCTGTCATACTTGAAGAAATAATCTCAGTCATAAATTTAACACTATCTTCCCACATGTCTATATAAAGCTATCAGCATAACATCAAATGTCTATGAAATGAATGTGGATTTTAAAAAATTATGAAATAAAAACTAGATAAACCAAAATTAATCTTCCTTGTTTAACTCAAACGATGTATTCAAAAAAATCAATAGTCAGTAGATACATCCTTGCATTACACAAACTATAACTTCACATGCAGTACACTAACTTTAACTTTACATACAGTTACAGTATGCAAACTATAACTTGCAGTACACTAACTTACTTTACATACAGTATGCAAACTATAACTTCACATGTACGCAAACTATAACTTAACATGCAGTACACAAACTGTAACTTCACGTGTGACAGTCACTTAAATTGTGATACACCAACTATCAGTATCACTTGTGACATGCAAACTTTCACTTCACTTGTGCCATACAAAATAAAAGTAGTACAACTCTCACTTCATTTGTGACAATCACCTACCTTGTGATGCACGGACTATCAATATCACTCGCGCCCAACAAACCATCACTTACTTATGACATGATTAATCACATGTACTGGCAGGGGTGGACTGGGGAGTTCAAGCGGCCCGGGGAAAAAAACAAAAAGCGGCCCTAATATCACCGCATATTAGTTATTAATTATTATTATATCACCGGTCCTGGCGGCCCATCGGGAATCTTCCCGGTCTCCCGGCGGCCCAGTCCACCCCTGTGTACCGGTACATAATTATGCGTGATGTAAATGAAATGAGCCAACTACAAGATTTTTTTTTGTTCTGGATCTACTAAAAATCCCCTCACATGTTCACCACAAGTGGTAATTGCATATCTTCTTTCATGAAGATACAAATAGTTCATGACTTTCGGCTGGTCCTCACCTGCTCAAAATGCTAACAGAAGTCAATCTCCGCAGTATTAACTTAAGCATGTTTGTTAACTGTTGAGTTCTCAAGTTTGTAAAAATTTTCAAAGTACCCGAGAAAAAAAAAAAAAAGCCAGATTAAAACGTACCCTTGACTCATCTGCCAGCTTTATAAATTATATCAAGCTTTAGGAAGACGTGATGTGCTCCACCAACATGCAAAGAATAATATGAAATTTTATAATAATTTATTCAAATGTCGTTACACTACATGGGGATTTTTATTTACCCTCTTAAAAATATATTTGACAAAGAACTCAACATCAAGGTTTAGACTTGGGAACACATGCTACTTTCCTATGTCTGAAAATTTGCTAATTTCTTAGATAAATTCTTCAGATTAAAACAATTTTCTACCTGTTATAATATGCGAGATCAATTTGTTTTTTTTTTGTTTTGTTTTTTTGCTAACCATTTTGATGTATTTGATCTGAATGTCGAATTGGGTCTTTTTGTCAACGGTTGAAATAAATCTTGTCACCATTACAAACTACATTTCCTTTATTAACACAGATGCATACAAAGAACAAAATCAAAACATACTTGTAGTTGTTCATTGTTTATAACAATTATAAACAGAGAAGAGGCACAGAATCATGTCATGAATTTCATACATGTTATAAATAAACAGAAATCTAAATTTGTTTGGTAAATAACTTGAGTTAAAAATATTATGAAAATTGTTGATTTTATGTGAACAAATATGCAAACTTTAAAATGTGATATCATTATTTTTATTTTTTTTTAAACACATTTTGAAATGGATAAAATAACAACCAGACCCCCAAAGCAAGAAAAATTTAGACCAGGGGTCCCCAAACTAGCAGTGCCTTTGGACACCAGTACATTTTATTTCAGCTTTATGATACGGGGAAAGACAATTTGAATTATATATCCAGGGACCTCCAAGTGGTCCACACAGATCGTGTTCAGTACCCCTGGTCTATTCTGTACAGCATTTATGGACATGTTATTCAAGTCAAATAAAACAACACATATGATGCAGGTATGTAGCAGTACATAACAGATGTCTCCACAAAGAATTGAATGTCGTTGACACTAAAAGCCTGCAAGTTGGAGCAGATAGCACTTTAAAGCACTGTCCTTCAACTCACAGAGGTTTAGGGGCCATCCATATTACATATATAGGGGGGAGTGGTCAAATTTGGAGACTTTGCATATTGGGGGGGGGGGGTGTCTAGGCAGACATGTAATGAAATGTTTAAAAATTCTGAAATAATTATCCTGATTTTCTGACTGTTCATAACTAATAATGGCCTATGTATATCTCTTATGCCTATGCTTTAAAAACATGACACAATTTTTTTTAAATATCATCATTCCATTGCTTTGTTTATACTACAAGTAAATTCGCTGGATATCCTCTTGTAGCAGTAGTAACAGTAATATTTAGTCCACCGTATGGCCCTTAGTGTATGTGTCACACGAGTGTGGTGTATTTTGTTCGGCTATGCCGGTGGTTCCTAAACTTTGTCAATCTCTGCACCCTTGCCAAATTTAGGTTTTCACCAGGCCCCCCTACATCAAGTCAAAATCTAACATGTGCACTTCGAAATAATGAAACATGTAGGTAGGTCACTAAGCCCCATCTAATTTCAAACAGTAATTACTCTAATGAGTTTCTTGCTTGTGCCAGGCATGGTAGATGTCAAAATGGATTAAAATTGGAAATAAAAATTGTGTAACGTTTTGCTGCGCTCCTGCAAGGAAGTTGCAAGTCACCAGGTCAGGGCCGTGTCAAGGAAAACCGGCACCCGGGTGTCAAGCTTGAAAAGGGCGCTCATAACTATAAAGAAAAAAGTGGCATTTTAATGGACTAATAAAATTGATATTGTTGATGGTTTTTTATTTTTCAGGTTGTGGGGTCCTGAAAGCACCTAATGTCCAAAAAAAGAATGCTTGCAACAAGGGGGATTGACTTTTGGCGCAAGTGCTATATGGATGGCCTCTCACCATGCTTGTTGAGATTATTACAGTAGGTCTAATGTCAGTCTCAATTGGTTATCAGTAGTAATGTTGGTCTAAATCAGTCCTCAGTGGTAATGTTGGTCTTATCAGTCCTTAATGGTATCTCTGATTTAAATTAGTCCTCAATAGTAATGTTGGTCTGAATCAGTCCTCAATTGTAATGTTCCAAATTAGTCCACAACCGTAGTGTTGATCCAAATCAGTCCTTAGTGGTAATGTTGGTCTAAATCAGTCCTCAGTGGTAATGTTGGTCTGAGATTCTAGCCAATTTTTTATCCTTTCCTTGTCGATGATCCTGTGATGCGGCTTGGCTGCTTCTTCCTCCACTTCATCATCCTCCCTTCCACCATCCTCATCACCATCCACATAATCATCTACACCAACATCATCATCGTCTTCGTCGTCCTCACCATCACCATGATGAGCCCCCATTCCGACTCGCCTGGCCTCACTTCCGCACACAGCCGACAAGGAGGAGGGAGACAGCTGGGATAGTCTGACCGACTGACCTTGACCCCTTGACCTCTGGTCCTGGGGAAGCACTGTATGTTGTGAGAGGATCTCGTGGCCCAGGTTGTAGGTGTCGCTGTGGATCGAGTCGATGTGGCCCACAGATGACCACTTGCTGCCCTGCTCTCCGTCATCGCTCTCCTCCTCAAACTGCCCCACCTCATCAAAAGAATCCCCCAGCTTGTGTTTCCCTCGTCTGTTCCCAAGATCTTCGTTGGTGAGGGTGGATTCGCTGACATTTCTACTCAGCTGACCCGCGCTGTCATTACTGTCAACGCCACCATTTTCCTGACCCTCAATCCTGTGCCTGTCAAGGTCCTCTTTGCCCAGAGCACCTCCATCCACGTCACTCTCGACACCTCCCATGTCCCCGAATCGGACAGAGTTCAGGTTTCTTCCCCCTCTCTTCTTCCTCCTTGTCTCTCCGAAATCTTCAATGTCTGCCTCATTTCCATCATCAAAATCATTGCCAGCTCCTCCCGCTTTTAACGTCGGCCCTCCTCCAGATAGATGAACACTGCCAGCTCCTCCCAATCTTGATCCCCCTCCTGATGGGTGAACCACATTACCAGCAGCATCTCTGACAATCTCATAACCCTGTGATAAGAAAAAATAAAAATTAAGACAAATGGACATCTGTGAGTTGATATAAATACATTTAATGCAGCGGAGTACTTGGGAGGTTGGGGGGGGGGGTGTCTGGTGGTGTCCCCAGTGACTGTCCTGTGTGGCACTTTTCATAATGTTTATTACAATCATAAAATAGATATGTGGTAGGGTTAGATTCAGGAGTTTGACTTGGGCAGAAGTTAGTCAAGGTAGACCACTAAATGAGGTGAAAAATTCATTTTTGTGTTCCTGCAACATCACAGCGGTATTACATATTACCCTTAAGAGGGGCTAAAAACAGAAGGAAAAAAACTGAAGGCATGCAAGATGGTGGAACCTCAGATAACGAACGCTCCGGTTAAGTCAAGCTTGTGAACAATTTTTTAATCAAAGCGAGTAGAGTGGGGTTGGATAAATTTCTCATAGGAATTGAACTCATCATGTTTTAAGACAAGAAGATAATGCTAGTTCAGATAGAAGTATGTATTTTTCATTATAGAAAGTTCCTGGCACAGGACAATAGAAAAGAATTTATGGGACAGAAGCCAGGAAGTTATACATGCTAAGAGCAAAATTTTAAAATTCAAAACAGCTAATGCTTATGCATCAACTGATTTCATCCACAGCCTTCCACGTTTATAATAATGTACACCAAAACTACTACGCTGCATTTCTCAACTACATTTTAACAACTAGTCTACATGAACAAAAAACAAAACTTACTTTACTGTCAACCTCCGGTTCTGCATGAGGAAAATTCTCAGAGATCGGCTCCGACAGGATGGAACTGGTGAACGAGATGGCGCTACAGCCCGATGGTGTCCGGGAGTGGCCCATGTGTGCGGCAAACAGTCCCGGCACCCCACCTATGCTTGAGGTCTGGGAGGCCATGGTGGGGTACTCGGCCACTTCCTTCTCTACGGCCAGGACCATTTCATCGTAAGCTGCTCTGGCCGCGGCAGTCAGGGATATCAGGCTGTGGTACTTGGACTATGAAAATTAAGTAGTTAGATGTGCAATGCATCATTGGACTGTGGGACTTGAACTGTAGTAATTATCACTACCATGAGTAATGCCAAAAAACTATCTTCAAAATAACATTCACAAAGAAATGATTCAAATAAATTAGGTTTTTGTTTTGCAGGACCAACATCTGAGTCCTATAAGTTAGTATTAATAATTAACACCAAGTGGAAAAATAAAAATGTAAGGTCTATTTAAAATTATATTTTTTTTAAATAAACACATGAAATTTTTATTTTAGTATTCTGTAAATAGGAAGTTTAGGAGTAAATATAATTTGTTAAAGTTATCATCCTTTAAAAAAATAACAAAAACTTCTGATACCACTTACAATAATATTAATTAACACCAAAAGCGTTAATGAAAATTTGTGGGGCAATAAATATAAAGTAGTTTAAACGGATTGAACGAGCCAACTTCGACACTGACCTCACATCCCTCGTAGTTAAATATCCCAACGACGCTGACGGGAACCAGCTTGGCGCAGGCACGACCCAGGGCACGTCGTCCCAGGGCAAACACAAAGGGCACCGTCTGCTCTTGACACATATTCAAGATGTTGTTGAGGGCCTCATCTAGACCACCTATAAATAAACAGCAAAAATAGGACACTAGAAAAACATTTTAATGATTGTAAGAAACTAGTTACAGTTCCAGCCTGCCAAAGGGAAGGCGGCAATGACTAAACTTTCCACTAAACTTGCCATCTACTAAAATTACGTGACAAAACATGCATTTAACTAACACACCTTACAAGAATTCCAATTAGTGCTACCTCCCCACAGCCCCAAACTTTTTCCACGCCCCTGAACTATTTTAATATTCTGGTGTCCCATCCCTTTTACACCAGAGATTTATTAAACCAAATTTAAATTGAGACTAATTGTGAGACAAAAGAAAACGTTATGCATCTAACCACATATTTTGCTGCTATTAGTGCTATTGAGCTTACCAGTACACCCAGCATACATGCATTCATACTGAGAAAATTATTAGTTGTGATAACTGGGTTATAAAGCAGACAAAACAAAGTGCTGGGTTAGAGAGCCGTTGACCGAAACAACAGAGCATTAAATCAAAATTCCCAATGAGTTAATGGGAGAATATCACAAAAAAATGTAATTTTTTTTTATCTCGCACCCTTTTCATCTCATTTCGTATTGTTTGAACTTGAACATTTAAAAATTTGAATAACATTAACAACCAATGATATGAAGGATAATAAATGAAGAACTGCATGCAAGTGCAAGCTGTGTGAAGCAAATAGTATAACTATAACAAGGTTTGTGGAAGCTTGAATCGAAAGACAGGACAATAAGAGACAAAGGTTTCGGCTAGAGTCTTCCTCAGCAGACAGGACAAATGAAAATACGACAAGAAATAGAAACCAGTTAAAAAATAAGCTATGGTGGACACTTCAGTTTTTAACTGACGAAGCGTTTCTCTCTTATTGTCCTTACTTTTGAGTCAAGCGTTTCTCTCTTATTTCTCTCTTACTTTTGAGTCAAGCTTCCACATACCTTGTCCTACTATTTCCTTCAATGATATGAAGAAAGAAGATTAATAAAAGGTGTGAAGTTTTTTTTTCTATTTGTTTATTTCGTATCTTACTCCGTGGACTATGAAGCAGATTCATTTACAATGCTGGTTCAAGTGATTAATTTACTGTGTGGGGACCGACCCCCACCCCCACCCCAAATACTCTTTTTCCAACTTTTTTCTAACCACCTAAAGTAAACAATCATTACATCTACACATAGCATTGAACTGAAACACACAACACATAAACTCATGAAGCTGAAACATATGACATTGAACCATATGAGACTAAAATAAATGGCACAAACTCATGACATTTACCTTTGGACTGAATTTTCTCCAGATTTGGTGAAATCACAACACATTTGATCTTCTTGAGCTTCAGGTGTTTGGTTACCTCCCTTAGACCAAGCACGATCCTCCTTTTAGTTTTGGCCTGAAAATTAATATTTTAAAAAGTTAACTTGGTGTAAAAGCAAATATTTACATTAAAAAAAAAATTAACATGGTGTCAGAACGAATATTAACATTTTAAAAAAAGTTAACTTGGTGTAACAGCGTACACACACAACACACACTGCGCTGACACAATGAATCAGTTCAGTCATCTTCAAGTATGTGCATTAAAAATAATTGTCTTTGATATCTGAATTAAGAACAAGCTTGCTTGCTCTTTTTATTGTAATAATTATGATCATACAAAAAGAAACTATTACTTAAATAGCAATAAAAGTCCAATTTTAAATTAAAATCAAGTACTACTCGTTAAGAGGATTGGTTCCAAAAATCTGGCACATGTTGAGACATTCACAAATAATTATTCTTCCAAATCCTTCTACCTTACAGTTTTTTTTTTTTAAATATAAGGAAAAATACTTTTTTATGGGTTCTAGTTCCATATCAATGATATTTAATTTTTCTTGCACTGGCTAATAAATACATTTTTAATGAGCACTACAGAGGGTGATAAAGAGAGAAGAGATACTAGTCTTACCTTGACAGGATCTTTGTGGTACATCATGTCTTGAAACCTGACCAGATCTTGCAGTAAGGAGGTACAGCATTGATCTATTTCATTATCCAAGATCTGCATACAGTACCTGTCGAGTGGATCTTATTTTACTCTCAGGTTCAACTAACTGCTATTGAAGATGATGCACACTTTGAATCAGATACTTTATTTTTTTTCTACTTTGTCGTTGTTCTAAATTCAAATAAAATCATTTGTGAATTGAACATTATCTTGTTTAATTTTATTTGGAATTCAGATTTATAAAAACAAATATGCAGACTTATAGCACTCTATACATTACACTATTACAAGAGATTTTCCAGCATTTACAATACTGTTCAGTTAAAATCTATCAATAAAAAACATTAATCATACACAATTATATAATGTATAAGAAAAAATTTAATTTTATTTTGTAATGTAAGTGGTTTGTATTCTATAAACAACTTGATCTATTTGCTATTGGGAGTAATGATATGCTATTAAAATGGATATACAGCATTTTGTCGTTAAGCTACAGCTAAATACACAGCATTTTGAAACGAAATAAGAAATTCATCCAAGTAAATAAATACATATTAATTAACCTATATTTCAATTTTCATCATAATCTAACTTATATTTTGAATATATACCTAAATTAACATTTAATTACCGAAAATTTTAGCCATCATTGTGTAGCACAAAAAGTCGATTATCTCAAAACGCCAAAAAATGGAGGTACAACATTTTGAAAATCGACTCTTCATTTGCAGCTCACAAATTAACGTACTGATTGTTTGCACCATAATGTCATTGCATTTCATATTTGTCAGCGATCAATCCGAAAGCAAATTTACCAAGTCTCGGGCTTGTACTATTACATGAATAACAATAGGATTGAAGTCCTACTACTTAAAAACAATATACTTGTAGCCCTACTACTTAAAATACAATATAATTGTAGTCCCAATACTTAAATAATAATATTAGTGTAGGTGTAATGCTTAAATAACAACATGCTCGTTGGTTTACAACATAAATAAGTCTCGTACACAATATATTTGTAGGCCTACTAAAAGTTATATTCCTTATCAAGTAGGCACAGATTAACCACCAATCACTAGAAATCACTTGTTTGTGTCATCGGGAGAAAGGAGGCGGAATAAAAATGCACTTAGAAAATAATTTGCTTTCAATAAATTAAAATATACAGGAACTGATTTATAAACATGTACTCTTTAAGAGCCTGCAGTCTTCAACACAGTACTTACTGAGAGTTCCTAGTGTGTATGAACACAGAAAAAAATCTTACGGAGTGCGCTCTTTTGTAGCGACAGCGTCAAAATTATGGAACAGTTTGCCTCAATCTTTGAGGGGAATTGTAAATGATAAGAAAATCATTTAAAGAAACAATTAATTTTAAAAAAAATAGATTTCGGAAGATCAGAGGGCAGTGAGAATGCTAGAGTTGAATGAATACCAGCGCGATATTAGTATCAAATCAATAAATCAATCATTATATCACAATTTTAGTAACCATGAAATCATTTCAGATTTTAAATGATTCGCCACAAAATCTCACAATACCATCATATGAATATGAAATGTATTTTCACAGCAAAAGCTTTACGGTAAAAAGCCTAAGGTTTTTAGGATATTCCTTAGAAAAAGATATAAAAGATTACAAAAAGAAAAAGTCTTTGATGGGAAACAATAATGGAAATACCATTAAAAGTTCTTTAGCAAGTCCTGCGGAATCAGAAACTGGACAAGTTGCATTTGCTTGTATACTGCAGTTTTAAACTCAGAATATTAAACCACTTTATTTGGAATATTTTTGCGACTTTTAGAGATAACCCACCAAACATATTGCGTTGTCAGTGCGTGAATTTTTGATCTACTAATGTTACTGGACAAAAATGAATTCAATTAGAGCTCTTCGTAATCGTGACTTTCGTTGCTCTCTCTCTTCAACTCATCTGTACATTATATTTGGTTTCACACCTCGAGGGAAACATCTAGGGATAATCTCTGTTGAAAAAGTCATCGTTTTATGATCGTCATGGCAATATTCTTACCTGAAGGGGAGTTTAACCAACACCTTCACCATCCAGAGATCCTAGTGCGGCAGCTGGAATGTCTCTGTGGGCAGAGAGTCAACTGGTCATTTATATAAAACATCGCTATTTAAATAAAAGTTCCTGAAAAACACGTTTCCTAATCTTTCAACCAAAGAACGAATAATACTTAATATGAACGGCCTACCTAAGAAATTGTGAACTTTTTCAGTTTATATCTCATGTTTTTTACCTGTGTTAACAATTGTTTTTTTTTTAATTTTTAAATGATCCCATATTCATTATTCCGGCTGCTTAAATCAATTCTCCGAACAGGCTCACAACCCTTTCTTAAAATAAAAAGAATATAATGAGTTATAAGAGCAACAAGCTGTACTGCAACATCAAGTGTTCACCTTTTGGGGACGTCTTCCTTCGCGGGAAACTCTGCATTATCAGAAACTGAATTCTTAACAAGTTCTATCTCGTGATCAGCATTTGTACCTTCATAGAGTAACCATAGAAATGTTTCGTTATCACGTTTCATAAGTAAAAAAAGTATGTATCATATATAAAAGATTTTTAATTCTATTGTATCAGTTAAAATTGATGTACAACTGTTTATATTGTTTTTGTTGATACAAAAAGCGTCATTCATATTTACCGACATGAATGAAGGAGGTCGCCCAAAGACAGAGAAATGCTAGAATGAGATATATGGATGGCTTCATGTTGTTTAGCTTCTTGTTCCTTCCTATGATGTGACTTTACTTTACTTCTATTTATATACAAAAACTAAGTCCTTATTATGTATTCTTGTTTAATTATTCGCTTAAATTACAACACTTAACTTCATGGGTTTACAACGATATTGTAATACAATTATTTGCACTTTTAAAAATTGCTTTAAAAATCAAGTGTCTCAAACGAGTCAGACCTCATTAACCATGTAGTGTTATTTCGTGATGGTTGAATTAGTCTGAGTTTTGACTTTCTCACCAGCGTATCATTAAAGTACAAGCTGGCTTAAACCTTTCACATGAACAAATGCATAGTTTCATAAAAGATGTTTTACAGTCGGTTAGTTGGAAACTCTAAAAACAGACAGTACCGACTATTCTCAAAGCGAACTAGACAGAAAGTATGAGTATACAAAAGAAGAAACTTTTCTTTTTAACTATCTCGTGAAGTTTTGTGATAAACTTAACCCGAAAGTTTCCTCTCGCTTGATGTGGCAATCACGTGGTACACGTATGCATGTTTAAGTGTTGAACACTTTGTTCCCACATCAAATGCGGTGCTTGGACTTGAGGCGTGTGAGGGCTCCGTTGTCTGATAGTTTCTAGGGATTGATGTGGATGTTGTTTGTGTCTTTTTTGTTTGTTGGTACAGTGAGATACCATCAAGACAAGCGATGTATCAAAGCGATGCATTGTGTGTTTGCTGAACGTGTGTGTGCTTTTAAGTGTCTGCAGAGAACCTCCGTGATGTTTAGCGCAAGTAGAGTTCAATAACTGGGATCTATATTCTTGAAACACTATTGATATTAAGTGTTGAACAAATGCTACATGACATTTCACAATAGATCGGTGTAAAAAATATTAAGATTAAAACGAATGAATTTAAATGAGACGCAAATGTTTTATCTGAAAATGCATAGCTGTTCCACAATGTGTCTCATTTAGCGTTTATTTCGTAAACATATACAACGGGAATGATTTAATTTGTTTGAGCATCGTACTCTCAACTTGGCTTTGTATCACTTCAATAAAATGAAAACGTAGTTGTAGTCACCTATTGTCAACTTAATAAATACCAATTTTTTTTATTTTGAAAACTTTTTCCCCCTCTAAATGTTTTAATGTTTTTCATGAAATTGTTGGCTTTGTCGAAAAGATTGAGAAATTTTGTATATGGATGTTGTCTTTTTGTATTGTTCACGATTGGTTGATACCAATTTTTTCAAGTGATGTTTTACATTTGAATCATACAAATTAGATAGCATGAGTAACGCTGTCTTCAGTGAGTTAGAAATAAAAGCCTGAGAAGTTGAATAGAAATAAAATAAAATAACATAAACGTGCCACTGATCATGGATAGCTGCTATAATAGAACGGCATCGTCTGCGCTCTAAGTGACTACTATCTTTAAGTTACCTTGAGCCGTGCATTGATTTAGCTCGGGTAAGATGTTTATGCTCTCTTGAAAGGATCGCTATTCTACGTGGTGTGAGAAACTAGACGGCTTTGAGCGGAAATGAATGGTTCGCCCGAATTTAATGATGCGTCATCCTCGCCAGAAACGGGTGACCTCAATCCTAGACCTTATCTTGCGTCATTCATTAATTGGTATAGCCCTAGGTTTGCTTCTTCCAAAATTATCTACCAACGTTTCAAATAATTGTTTGGTAATAAATAAAATATCCTTTAAAAGTATCTGCGCCAGATAATATCTGTACTTTCATCAAGTTTGTTTACTTAACTCAAAGCTTGATTTAACTCATAAGTAGTGGAGGAAATCCCCCCTCCCCCCATTTGTTAGATGAAAAAATGGAATATAAAGTCCTACTTTAACTACAGTTCTATAACCTTGTGATGCTAATACAGCGATTTTTAAATATTTTTTGTTTTTAACCCAAAAGGAGGGGGGGAAATCCCCCCCCCCCCCCATTTGTTAGATGAAAAAATGGAATATAAAGTCCTACTTTAACTACAGTTCTATAACCTTGTGATGCTAATACAGCGATTTTTAAATATTTTTTGTCTAGCCTGTAACCACTTGTTGAACAAACATTGTTAAACATTCTCCAATAACATTAAATTTACTTGCATGAAAATTCTGATACAAACTTCGTCCCAAAATCAACGCTTAATTAATTTAATGGTACGTGGTAGTACTGTCTCACATAACAGTTGATTTATTTTATCACCTAAGTTTCCTCATGTAGCAGAATTTCTTTCCCTTGAAACCTTTGAACAGTTGTTCATAATTTTAGCTCATAAGCTCTTAAGTGTAGTAAAAACAAACACATTGATATGTTCACTGTCA